GTTTACAGAAAGCAACTGAACTGAGCACATTATGTTTGCTCCCATACGCTAAGGCCACTCAAGTTCCAAGTTTGGAACATACCTCAAATATATCAGGCATGCACTAATCATGACATGGCTACTTCAGGCACGTTCACATCTTAGCTAGGATTGTATACACTAAAAAAAAAAAAAAAAAAAAAAAAAAATCCACAAAAAAAAACACAAAAACCCCCAAGAAACTCTCACTTCCCACTTTCCTTTCAGTAAAGCACTGCAGGATAAAGTTTCTGATGAAGGCAAGTGAAGAAAATTTAGGGACCTGCTCTCTAAGGCTTTGTGCTGCTCTCCCATCCAAAATGGGGTTTAGAAGAGTTAAAATATTATGTCAAAAAGTAAAAGGGAACTGCAGTATTCATATAGTAGGGGTGGCTATTTAAAAAAAAAAAAGTCTGGCTAAAATATTGCTGTCTTCAACCATGGTACAACGATAAGAATTCCCAGCATAATTCACAGCAATGACCCACAGGGTCACAAAATATAACTGTCCATTTTTCTTAAGTTACCTTTGCCCAGTTTCTCTTCCACTTACTCAACCAAGCACCACCAGCAGCCATTTCAGCATCAATTAAAAGGAATTAAACACCTAGCCAGCACTATGCTAGAAGAGCAAACAGAATTAGGTATGTCAAGGACAGACAAAAAGAAAGAAGGACAGAAGGAAAGATCACAGACTGATTTAACTTGGAAGGGACCTTAAAGATCCAACCCCCTTGCATCTTGCTACAAGTTTGGTTTGGGGACACCAGGGCAGTAGGATCAACAGTTAACAGCAAAATTAAAAAGCATAAGGGCAGAAATACCCAAGACAATAAGCCTAGAAAGGACAATGAAGTCTACTACCAACAGTCACCTCACCTGGACTCCTCCAGCTTGTAATTTTAGTTGATGCCAATATAGATACCTTAGAAACAGGAAACACTTAAATTATGAGCACTCAGAATGACCTGTCAAGTGTCATACCTGTTCTGCTACCTGCTTAAAAAAAAGTAGTTCCATTAAGAACAGATGCCACCCTTCCTTCCAACAAATGGGATTCAGAAATAGTTTAAGCTCATGACAAACCCACAGACTAGGTGCTGTATTTTAGTTTTATCTCATTTCTGTTGTAGAAACAGTCCAAATTGTTTGTTGAAATTAAAACTACAACTGCTCAGTAGCCTTACTGTATAAAGAGACCATAGTACTACCCCAAGTTTGGGAACTATTGCAAAGGAACTATTTCTAGCAATACAGCATCTGTTGCTAATTTCTAGTTTCAAAACAAGAAAGTCCATTTTACAGGGCAGCATGTCCTTAACTGGAGGAGAGCGTTGAGAAGCATTCCTTCCATGGGGTCTGCAGGAAAGTTCAGTCACCCATTATTTACTACAAGCTGCTTTTTACAGGCTCCTGGTTTTCACTGGGTAAGTGGCAATGCTGATCTCCTCAGGAGGCTGCCAAGCCAGGCTGGGGGGGGGAGGGGAAGAGGGGGCTGGGCCAGCATCAGCCACTTCCCAAGTCTCCCAGAGCTCTACTTGTCACGATCAACACTACAAAAGTGGGCAGGGAAGAGAAATTAAAACAGTTCAAAAGCTGAAGAGCTCCATGCCACCCAGAAATTATCACTGTACAGCCTGCACCAACAGACCCAAAACACTGCTCCCATCCTGAGCAGAGTCACAGCCCATCAAAGTTCACTCAGCTTCTCCTCCTGCTGACTGGACATGGGCTGAGGAAGCGGGTGGTTGCAGTGCCAGGAGTGGCGCAGGCCAGGCTGCAGGCACCTCGTGAGCTGCCCCACTCACACCCTGGAGACAGCAGGGCTAGGTGCACTCCTTCCACCAGCCCCACCGGATTGACAGCTGGCCAATGTTAAGTCCCTCTACAAAAAGGGCAGGAAGACCCTGGGAACTCCAGGACTGTAAGCCTGACCTCAGTGCTGGGAAGGTCATGGAGTAGATGATCCAAAGCGAGATCATAAAGCACATGTGGGAAAATGGAGGGATCAGGCCCAGACAGCATGGGCTCGTGAAGGGCAAGTCCTGCTTGACCAACTTGATCTCCTTCTATGGCAAGGTGACCCACCTGGTTAATGAGGGAAAGGCTGTAGACATTATCTATTTGGACTTTAGTAAAGCATTTGACACTATCTCCCATAGCAACAGTTCCCATAGGAGAACCTGGAGAAATTGGCTGCTCATGGCCTGGATAGGAGTATTCCTCACTGGGTTGGAAACTGGCTGGATGACAGAGCCCAAAGAATAGTGGTGAAAGGTGTCACATCTAGTGGACAACCTACTACCATGACTAGTGGTGTCCCGCAGGGGCTGGGTGTTAGGGCCAGTATTAGTTAATATCTTCATTGATGATCTGGATGACAGGATTGAGTGCACCCTCAGTAAATTTGTGGATGACACCAAGTTGGCTGGGAATGTTGATCTGCTGGAGGATAAGAAGGCTGCAGAGGGATCTGGACAGGCTGGATCAATGGGCTGTGTCCAGTGCTATGAGGCTCAACAAGGCTGGGTCCTGCATTTGGGCCACAACAACCCCATGCAATGCTCCAGGCTTGGAGAAGAGCTACTCATGGAAAAGGACCTAGGGGTGCTGACTGACAGCTGCTGAACATGAACCAACTTGTGCCCAGGCAGCCGAGAAGGACAATGGCATCCTGGCCTATCAAAAACAGCATGGCCAGGGCAGTGATCATCCCCCTGTACCCATCACTGGTGAGGCCACACCCTGAATCCTGTGTTCAGTTCTGGGACCCTCACTACAAGAGAGACATTGAGGTGCTGGAGCAGGGCCAGAGAAGGGCAACAGAGCTGGTGAATGGCCTGAAGAATAAGTCTGATGAAGAACACCTGGAGAGTTAGTCTGAAGAAAAGGCTTAGGGGGAAATCTTATCGCTTTTGACAACTACCTGAAAGGAGGATGGAGCCAGGAGACTGGTTTCTTCTTTGAAATAACAAGTGATAGGACAAGAGAAAACGACCTCAAACTGCACCAGGCGACGCTTAGACTGAAGATTAGGAACAATTTCTTCCGCAAGAGAGTGGTCACGCAGTGGAACAGGCTGCCCAGAGCAGTGGTGGAATCGCTGTCCCTGGAAGTGTTCACAAACCATGTAGATAAGGCCCTCAGTGACATGGCTTAGTGGTGGCCTTGACAGTACTAGAAAAACGGTTGAACTTGATGACCTTAAAGGTCTTTTCCAACCTGGCCGATTCTACGATTCGATACCACTCGCCATCCCTACAATCATATCGAGATCTCGGGCCCCGCTGTCCCGCGACAGTACCCCTTACGCGCGCGCAGCATACCCGCGGGACGCCTTTCCGCGAGAACGGACTGTACACGGCAAACACCACTTACCCTAAAGGCCAAGAGCAGACGGTAGACTGTGGCTGATAGCGCTTTTATCCTCTCGCCTCCGCCGTTTCGCTACAAAATGGCGGACGGAGTCGCGCGCTCACGTCGCAACCTTTCCCCTCCCCCGTCCCTTCGCGGTACGCCAGCGCGGAAGAGGAGGGAGTGCGGGTAGGCGAGACTTCCTGTCGAGCATTCCCTCCCCATCTGCACTGTACCAATCAGAGCGCAGCGCCCAGAACTACCTGACCAGTCAACGCGGAGCGACCTTTAGGGGGACGTTCTGCTTCCCCCCCGCCTTAGCCCCACCCTCACTCAGAGCTAGCACCGCACTCCCATTGGCCAGAGAGCCGCTCGAGTCCTTCCTACTCTTTTAGCCAATCAGCTGGGACTGGCAAGGCGCTGGGGCGGGGCGGAAAGGAGAAATAGCGGGGAGCACCAAAGTGCGCGCGGAGTCGGGGTGTGGGTGTGGGTGTGGGTGTGGGTGTGGGTGTGGGTGTGGGTGTGGGTGTGGGTGTGGGTGTGGGTGTGGGTGTGGGTGTGGGTGTGGGTGTGGGTGTGGGTGTGGGTGTGGGTGTGGGTGTGGGTGTGGGTGTGGGTGTGGGTCTTTCTCCTCGAATGGTGTTCGCCCCATGCTCTCCTACCTTTGCCTCGTCTCGTGTCTTCCCCCCCGGCGGTGGTACGGCCCCAGGCACAGTGCCCCGCCCCCCCCCGGGTACGCTGAGGGGGCACTCTCCTGCCTCGTCTCGTGTCTTCCCCCCCGGCGGTGGTACGGCCCCAGGCACAGTGCCCCGCCCCCCCCCCGGGTACGCCAGACAGAGATGGTCCCATCTAGGGTGCCAAATAGAAGCATGGAATCAGACTCTACAACTCAAAGAGAGTTATAAAGCAGGTATGTTTATTACGGTGCCGGGTGCAAGGGGGATCGCTCCTCCTAACTTGCACGCCAAGGGGTTAAGCAAGCAGATATTTGTTACATACAATCATGCATATTCATTAGGTTCCCAAGAGAGCAGGGGGGATATTACAATTAGTTTAGGTATTCATTATCATAAGTCTCCTCCCTTTTGGTGCTTGAGCACTGCCCTCCGGTGGTCATGGGCAGGGGTCTTCAAGATGAAGTAAGCAGTCTTCCTCACCGTGCACTTTTCACCTTTGCCCCAGTTATCACAAATTAGCTGAAACCAACCGTATCTGCAAGTTTCTGATAGCTGGCAAAGATTTAGAACAGTGCGACCTTTATACAAAATCTATTGCGAGCAGAACAGGATGGGCAGACAAGGAGTATCCTAAGCTAGCAGATGTTCGGGAGTCACTGTCTCCAAACTAACTGATAATTAGAAGGATGGTAAGAAATTATTCACTCATTAGAAGGATGGAAAGAAATAATTCACTCTTGTTAGTAAGACTACTAAATTCTGTTATCACGCCACAGACTTACAAAACAAACATTGTTCTCTATCTTAGACCTAAGTTAAATGTACTTTAACCCTATGTTTTCCAGGCACTCGCTTTCCTTATATCACCCCTTCCTGCCCACCTCAGCCACCCCACAAGCTGCCTTCCAGACCTGGGGGACACCACCGAGACCCCCAGGACCTCCCCCGGGTATGAAGCTACCCCGAGGTATTATGAGGCACTGAGGAAATGCCTCAGCTCTGGCAGAGACCTCCTCCCCAGTTGCCATGGGGTCAGCACTGACAACCCCCCCCTTCCCTGGCCCAACACCATCCAACCCAAAGCTCAGAGAGCTAGGATGGAAGTTTGGGACACAGCTTCATCCCACCCAGGACAGGCTGCGAACACTGGGGCTGTTCAGCCTGGAGAAGAAGCTGTGTGGAGACCTCAGAGCAGCTTCCAGTAACTGAAGAGGGCCTACAAGGATGATGGAGAGGGACTCTTCATCAGGAACTGTAGTGATAGGACAAGGGGCAGTGGATTCAAACTTAAACAGGGGAGATTTAGGTTAGATATAAAGAAGCTCTTCCCTGTGAGGGTGGTGAGGCCCTGGCACAGGGTGCCCAGAGAAGCTGTGGCTGCCCCATCCCTGGCAGTGTTCAAGGCCAGGTTGGACAGGGCTTGTAGCAACCTGGTCTAGTGGAAGGTGTCCCTGCCCATGGCAGGGGGTTGGATCTAGATGATGTTTAAGGTCCCTTCCAACCCAAACCATTCTATGATTCCATGACCCCTTTGTCAGCAGAGGGACAGAGCAGGAAGGGAGTGGAGTCTATCTACTCCCCCCTGCAATATGCCCTGTTCCATATCCATCCAAGTCTGGTCCCTCAAACACATGTGCAAGAGGCTTGTCACCATCCCCTGCTGACTGCTCCCTTCCCAGCAGGTGTCTGTGGCTTCCTGACCTTTGGAGTTGGTGTGGAACAGGATGTCTTGATGTCCTACCCCTCCAATGACATCCCCATTGCCCTTGCCCAGGCCTTAATCAGGCTGTGTGCTGACATCCTACCCCATCTTGCACTTCTGTGGCCGGTGAGAGCTGGGAGAAGGCAGGAGCTGGTGTGGGCAGGAGGGGCAGCATGTGGAACCCCCCTGCCCTGGGTCTGTGCCCACAGGGCTGTCTTGGAGGGTCTCTGGCTCCACTACACTGGTGATAGGAGAGGACTCATTTTACTAACTGAGAAAAAACAAGTTAAACTTTAGCTAAACAAAACCATGCACATGTCAAGAAGAAACAAAACAAAAGGTAAAAAACATTCTTTACCTATCCAGCTCACTGAACTAGGAACCATTCTTTACAAAGTGCCTCTCCAGCTCAGTGAACTGGGAACCGTTCCTCACGAAGTCAGAAGAGAAGCCAACCTAAGACCATAAAAGGAAGACAACAAGAAGTTCAGCCAAAAGTCAACAAAGATACAACCACCAGGGATCCCAAAGTCCCTTGGGACCCTCACTCAAAATAAACTGCGTATGCTCTAGTGGGTGGTAACCTATGTTAATTAGTTCTGGAGAAAATGATAATATGTATGAGATGTCTTGGAATTAAAATGTGTATGTATGAGATGAATTCTTATAAGCACGAAACCTGTAAGAATCGGCACGCGCATTAGGAGGAGCTATCCCCCGTGCATCCAGCACCGCAATAAATAATGCCTGCTTCTTAATGCTATATTGGTATTAAGGAGTTTTATTCTACTGACTTTTGGTGACACCAGGGTGACAGTGGAGGAGGACGTGGTTCGGGAGCAGAGGAGGTGCCTGCTTCAGACCATCATCTGGTTCCTCCTGATACTCCTCCTGGCTTTCTTCATCTCTGACATTGGCAAAGTCATCTCTGTCACTGGGGGCTTGGCTGACTGCTTCATCTTCATCTTTCCAGGTAGAGCATCCTGGGATGCTATGGGGCCATGTCCTGGGTTCAGCAGTAGCAGTCATTTTTCTCCTCCTTGGTAGCTGGTGTAGTGCTGTGTTTTGACTTTCAGCTCGGGAACAGAGCTGATAGCGATGTTTTGGTTTGGCCAAGGACTTTGTGAGCCTCATGCTCTGCCAGGGAGGAGGGGAAGCCAGGAGGAAGCAGAGACAGGACACCTGACCCAAACTGACCAAAGAGGTATTCCATACCACAGCACGTCATGCCCAGGATGTAACTGGGAGTGAGCCGGAAGGGCTGGGAGACTGCAGGGTTGGAGGAGGTATCGGTCGGAGCTTGGTCGGGCTTGGGGGGCGAGTATCGGTCAGCTGGTGCTGAGGTGTTGTATTCTCTTCCCTTGTTATTTCCTTTATCATTATTATTACTGGTGGTAGCAGTAGTGATTTGTGTTATACCTTAGTTACTAAACTGTTCTTATCTCAACCCATGGGAGTTGCATTCTTTTTGATTCTCCTCTCTGTCCCTCTGGGAGCAGGGGGAGGGAAAGAAAGGGGGGGAAGTGAGCGAACGAATTACCTGACTGGTTTTAAACCATGACAGTTCTTTTTGGCGCCCATCGTGGGGCACGAAGGGTTGAGTTAACGACAGATTTGACTGGATTAATAGTCACTCGTCACAATGCTGATTTATTGGCTCTCAGAGTTGTTCTTGTTGATCTCACAGCTTCAGACCGTTGTAACTTACTTAGAGCCGGTATTTGCTGTGTTAGTGTTTATCAAGTGTGGGGCCTGGGCTAAGGTTCTTGTCTCACTGTGCTTTATGGCAATGGCTTGTAATACGGGCGGGCTCCAGCAGCAGGGCGGGACGGACGTGGCCGTGGACTTGTACCTGGCCGTCCGGCTGCTCTTCACCGTCCTGGCCCTCGCCCTACTCTCCATCTTCGTGAGGCTGCGGGGAACTGAGGGGGAGCGGTCCCGGGAGCCGGCGGCTGCTGAAGCGGCCCGGGAGAGCGGCCCCGGGGACCAAGCGGTGGCGGGAGCGGGGCCGGAGGCCGCGAGGGGACGGCTGCCGGTGGAGGAGGAGGTCGGGGCGGTCGAGGAGAGGAAGGAAGCGGCTGCCGAGCAGCGGGAGAAGGCGGCGGAGGAGCCGAGCCCCGCGGCCGAGCCGAGCCCGGTGGCCGAGCCCAGCCCCGCGGAGGAGCCGAGCCCCGCGGCCGAGCCCAGCCCCGCGACGGCCGAGAGCATTCCCCGGAAGCCGCCTGCCGAGCCCCAGGAGGATGCAGGAGGCCACGCAGCATTTCCCAGCAAGGCAGAGGAGGAAGAGCTGGACTCAGAGAAGCTGGTGGTGGGAGAGCCGGCAAGCACAGCAGCTACACCAGCCCCAGTGACAAGTACAGCAGCATCGTTTGAGAGTTCTGAAGGTTTTGAATGGCCTTTGGGTATCCTTGGGACCTGCCTGCTGATTGTGATGGGGATCAGCATGTTGGCACACACACAGGCTGTGTTCTACCCACCACCATTTTGTCTGATCTCAGAAGTTAAGCAGAGTCAGGTTTGGGTCTTGTCTGAGGTTAGACAACAATATAGGGAGACCAAGAGATTTTCCCCAAGGCTGGACAGTCATGAGTGGCAGGGTGTGTGGGACAGTATGGGCAAGTATCTAGTCCACTGGGCCCCTCCAGTGCTTTGGAAGCATCGGAGATGGAAGGCAGCTGTATGGAGTCCCCAGCAACAAGCTGCAGAAACTGCTGAAGGGGACAGTGAATTATTTTGAGCCTGGTGGGCCCATGGCACTTCAGGCCATCAGAGCAGAGATGCAACATAGAGATGGACTCATGATCGAGGGGTGGACTTAGCAATGGACACTATTGCCCAGGTTATTCACAAGTGTGAACACTGCACGCAATCTCTCCTGCTCTGGAAGACTGTTACAAGAGATGAAGCCTGACATCATGGACCAGATGGACGCAGCAGCTTTATAGGGACTGGTCCGTGCACTAAGATAAGAGTGCACCGAGATAAGAGTGATGGTATATTGAAAATGTGGGATCTGAGCATGACGTGAATGGTATGGAATAAGGGGTGGATAATGTCCTGGGTTCAGCAGTAGCAGTCATTTTTCTCCTCCTTGGTAGCTGGTGTAGTGCTGTGTTTTGACTTTCAGCTCGGGAACAGAGCTGATAGCGATGTTTTGGTTTGGCCAAGGACTTTGTGAGGCTCATGCTCTGCCAGGGAGGAGGGGAAGCCAGGAGGAAGCAGAGACAGGACACCTGACCCAAACTGACCAAAGAGGTATTCCATACCACAGCACGTCATGCCCAGGATGTAACTGGGAGTGAGCCGGAAGGGCTGGGAGACTGCAGGGTTGGAGGAGGTATCGGTCGGAGCTTGGTCGGGCTTGGGGGGCGAGTTATTGGTCAGCTGGTGCTGAGGTGTTGTATTCTCTTCCCTTGTTATTTCCTTTATCATTATTATTACTGGTGGTAGCAGTAGTGATTTGTGTTATACCTTAGTTACTAAACTGTTCTTATCTCAACCCATGGGAGTTGCATTCTTTTTGATTCTCCTTTCTGTCCCTCTGGGAGCAGGGGGAGGGAAAGAAAGGGGGGGAAGTGAGCGAACGAATTACCTGACTGGTTTTAAACCACGACAGGCCAGCATAGATCTCTTGGCCTTGTGTCTTGAGGAGGGAAGGAGCAGGATGGAGACACAGGAACCAGAAGGTCTTTAGAGGACAAAAGTGTGGCATGAGGTCAGTCAGCAGCCCAACTATTTTGACTGGAGTCTCTGCTCTGTAACAGGCAGTGTGGCTCTCTGGCTTGTGGGGTGTCTGCTCAGGCCTCAGCTAAGTCTGATTTGCCTCCCCTGCCTTTCAGGGCTCTGCCTGATTCAAGCCAAGCTCTCTGAGATCCAAGAAACCAGGACAATCAGGTAACCAAAACGTGCTTCCTTTCTCCCCTCTTCCCCTGTGGATACTGGGGTGAAGGTCCCGTCTAAACAAGGCCTGTCCTCCTGTGTCCACAGCTGGTGGGCCCAGGTCAGCTACGGGGTGTTCATGGTCACCCTTGGACATACCACTGCCATCTTTGTGGATCTCACAGCCTGATTCCTCCAGGCTGAACCACACTGCTGCTGCTGAGATGCAGATTTCCCCTAGGACCAAAGGGAAGTGGGAAGAAAACACTTTGGTGTGTTGGGAAGATCTAAGAGGAGCGTTGTAATCTGGGGCTTGACTGAGAGAGCCTTGTAGTGGTTTGTATCTTGTCGTCTTAACACACCAGGCAGTCAGACTTCTCCTCTCAGCCCTGACTCCCTGGTGAAGCCAGAGCATCACTACAAGGAAACCTGTAGTCTAGGTCAAGCCCTTTCTGCCCCTCCAGGGTAGACATCACTACCTTAGACATCACTAAGGGGTCGCAGTTGGGGTTTGCCAAGGCATGCTGCTCTCCTCTGTGTACCCCAGTGCTGGTGGAACTCCTCCACAGCTTCAACTCCTCCCAACACTGGAGGGAGACTATCTCTTGTGTAAAGGGAACTAGTAGCCATGTTTATCAGATGGGCCATCACCCCCATAGTCCTCTTGTGTGTCAGTGCTTGGTTTGATTTGAACTCTGTTTTCCTGTGGCCCACCTTGCCCATCTCCTGTCCTTACTCTTACATCTCCCTCTGCCTGGGCTGCACTTCCTGTTACAAAGCAGGATGTTGCCTTCAGCCTGAATTTTTCTTGGGAGGATCAGGACAATCCCAGACATGCTGGTGCAATGTTCTCCTTGCCAGGGGTTGCTCAATTGATGGAGAAGGTGCTGTGGCTGCATTGACCTACTATCAACACTACACTAGAGCAAAAGCTTTTCTCCAGATTTCCAATCCTGTTCTTCCAGGGAATGGGACTAGGCCAGGTGTTGGTTTTAAGGGATGTTTTGGGGATAAAGCAGTCAGTATTAATCCATTTTATATTGTTCCTTTGGTGGTTTACACTCTCTGTGGCTGGTGTTGCTCTGGGATGTCCCTCTGTTACCTGTCTGGATGATAGTTTCACTTCTACTTTTCCTGGGTTGAGCAGTTCCTCCAGCTGAATCTTCAGTTTGAGGAGTTAAACCTTAACAGCAAACCACTCTTGTTCAGTCTTTAAGTTTCCTTGTTCCTTGTTTGGCTTCTAAAACCCTGGGTGAGGGAGGAATTCATGTGTATCTGCATCAGTGATGAGGGTCCAGCCCAGCTTTGTGCAAAATCTGGCTTGGCCCCTCTTTGGAGAAGGAGGAAGAAAAGCCTCAAGCATAGCATGAATGTATGGGGGACCCTGTGAAGGCTGTGAGCTTCTCATCAATCAACACCCCTAAGTCTTTCTCAGGGATGCTCTCAATACAGTCTCCCTCAGCATGTATTTGTGCTTGGGATTGCCCTGACTCAGATGAAGGATCTTGCACTTGGCCTTGTTGAACTCCATGAGGTTTGCACTGGCCCACCTCTCCAGCTTGTCCAGATCCCTCTGGATAGCGAAATAAGAGGGTCTCTGCTCCCTGGGTCATGGGGAGCAGAGAGCCACCTCCCATGGAGCCCAGCAGCAGATGCCAACACAGAGATGCCTTTCAGTGCCTGTCCCCCATCAAGATGGAAAGGGATTTGTTACCCAGTGGGTTTTGTGGCTCTGGCTTTCCTGAAGGTGTGCTGGGCACAAGGAGGTCCCATGGCCGAAGTGGAGGCAGACACAGTGCCCCACAACTTTGGTGGTCACCCTGTGTAATAGGGAACCTAGCTGAGAGTTGATTCTCTCTCATGATTGAGAACCATAACAAAGGATGTTGTTTGCCACAGTGTATTCGGCAGAGTATATATGTTTATGTTCATCGTGACTGTCAGAAAGAGGCGGTTCTGTGACCTTCATACTTGGCTGCACTGGGTCGCCTGGCCAACACATGAGAAACTGCACGGTCCCACAAATAAACAATTATAAATCTGGCATAAAGCCAGTTGCTTTGAGAAGGGTATAAAAGCAGGACCCTATTGTGGCCATGGCAGAAGCCTCACCTATGGATGGACGCACTGCATAGGAATTTTC